ATGTGTACTACTGTTTCATGAGAAACTATTTGTTCTGTAAGCCTTCCACTGAAGTACAATAAAAAAATTTTAAAATCTTAAAAAAAAAAATCCAATGTCTCATAGATGTCACATTTTTTTTGTTTGTTTGAATTAGGGGTGAAATAAAGTATTTAATATGCAATTGGTTGCTATGTTTCTGAAGTTGATGGTTAACATGTTCCCTTCCCTCTATATTCCCTCTACATTGGATCTATTAGTTAGATCTAGAGACTTGATCAGGTTCAGGTATGCATTTTTTTGGTAAGACTATTTATAGGTAGTTTCCACTTGAGTTAATTTTGTATACAATATAAGGTAAAATCTAACTTAATTTTTTCTTTTAAATACGTGGTTAATTGTGTGTTGTGCCAGTGCCATTTATGGAATAGTTCATTCTTTCCTCCCCATAATTTGAAATGCCACTGTTATCATATACTAAATTCACACATATATGGCTCTTTCTCTTTCTCACTCCTTTCTCACTCTCTCTGTATATATATACCTGTGTGTGTGTATGTTTATGTATGTATATGTAGATACATAATGTATGTATATGTAGATACGTATTTCTTTTCTAAACTCTTCAGTCTATACTTTTGATCTTTTTGTCTATGCCTGAGCCACATGGTTTTAAATCCTGTAGCTTTACAGTATGTTTTGGTATCTGATAAATCAGTTCTTCCTTCGTTGGTCTTATTTTTAAAGCATTTTTTTGGCTTTAATGTGCTTGTTCTCTCCTATAATAATTTAATAATTTTTAAATCTGTACGTTAAGATTTTGATTGGAATCACATTGAATTTGGAGACTAATTTGGAGACAAATAGCATCTATAAGATAATGAATCTTCCCAGGCAGGGATATAGTTTTTTCTTTCATGTATTCAAAATATTTTTTATCTCTTTCTGTATAGTTTTATACTTTCTTTTATCTAGGTCTTTATAGTTTTTGTTAGGTTTATTTTTAGATATTTTGCAATTTTCTTTTCCTGTTTTAAAAAGGAGCTTTATTTCTCCATGCATTTTCCAGTTGGTTATAACTGGTATTTGGGAAAGCTTTGGTTTTTATAAATTGATCTTGTATCTGGCTGACCACCTTGCTCAATTCACTTTTTATGTGTTATAATTTTTTTTTTCATGTTGACTCTTCTGGATTTTCTAGATTGACAATCATATCATCTACAACTGGTTTTCTTTTTAGGCTCATGCAGAGTCGAGTAAAACCTGGTTGGCGGGGAAATTCTCTGAACTCAGATTACTGCTGGATGAAGAGGAAGTGCTGGCCAAGAAATTCGTGGATAAAAACATGCAGCTTGCCCTGCAGGCGTACAGGCAGCAAATCGAGTCTTGTGAGGAGCACATCAGTGTCATGAGTGATCTTTCACACAGGGTCTGGAGTATCAGCCAGGAGCCCAATCCCATACAGCTGCTGCAGGTAATGCAGGATTTCTATCCTTATAGCTGCCACCTGCCACCTACATTTCATCTTAGTGGTTGTTGTTAGCTGCTGTGCGAATCGGCCCCCGACTCAGGGCGACCCCATGCGCAGCAGAAGGAAATGCTGGCTGGTCCTGCACCATCCCCATGATTGGTTGCAGATCAAACCGTTGTGATCCATAGGGTTTTCATTGGCTGACTTTTGGAAGTAGATCACCAGTCCTTTCTCTCCCAGTCCATCTTAGTCTGGAAGCACTGCTGAAACCTGTTCAGCACGATAGCAACATGCAAGCATCCACTGATAGACAGGTGGTGGCTGCCCATGAGGTGCATTGGGCCGGGAATCAAACTTGGGTCTCCCGCCTGCATGGAAGGCAAGAGTTCTGAACTGCCAGTGCCTCTCATCTTGGTTACTGTGGCATTAAACACAGTATTTACACACTGAGTGAATACACAGAGAATTGCCATCTCAATATGTAGACTTCATTGCCCCCACACAAGTGGTCAGAAAATGTACATTGTTAGGAAGATAATATACATCTTGAACTAATTAAATAATATTGATAGCCACCATATTGGAGGACTTCTATGTTCCAAGTACTTTGCGTCTTAGTTGTAATATCTACAAGAGCTCTTCAAGGTGAATATTGTCACCCCACATTACTAATGAGAAATTGAGGCTGAGGGAGGTGAAGTGACTCACCTGAGGTCACACAGCTGGTAGATGGCAGAGGTGGGATCAGAACCCAGGTGTGCCTGACTCTAACACCGCATGGCATCACTGCCTATCCTTCTGCCGTTGCAGTGGTAATTGAGACACCCCTCCTGGAAAAGTACCCCTCTTGAAATGAGCTGAGTCACAGTTTGTTCAAGGGAAAGAGGAGGATGGTACTTCTTGGCCACTGGGCTTTGTTGGAGGCTTTTACCTTACACTGAAGGAGATTCTAGGAAAAGTCCCCTATGATACTCATTGCTACATTGAGTGAAAGCATGTCGTTGAGGATAGTGCTTCTGTCTTCACGGAACAATGAGAGAAACTTTTCTCTGATATCAATACACCTGTACACTTGGATTGCTTTTTCCACTCATGTAACTTTCTGTTTCCTTCTTCGCCTTGGCTTCTGGGAAGCTCAGAGCCAAATACACTTCAAATAAGTCAAAAAAGACTTCAGGGCACACATTTTATGTTTCGTCTCACTGTGGCTTTTCAGCTTACGTTTTTATCCTGGTTTTCTCCTTGTTTCATGTTTCTCTCTGTAAAGGAAAATCTTGCAGTAATTAGATGACCTTTGTAAAGGCTTGTGGGAGCAAAGCAGGGTACAACTAAGTAAAGGCAGCACTGAGCCTAACCACAGATTAGCATGGACTCTGGCTGAAAACTAAGATAGACAAATAAATCAGCCAGTACAGAACTAGTCAAGCCAGTTCCCTGGCAGATATCTTCATTCTTGTGCTTTTTAGGTAGACCTAGCCAATTCAGCCTGTGTCTCATTGTCAGGTAGGCCAGCTGATTTCTGGGTGAGGTGTTCTCTAGACACGATGACAGTGTCCTTTCAGAGGGCAAGATGCTCAAAGGGGTACATTTGTCCCTTATTAAGTAGCAGTAATGTTTAGGGTTACCTAATACAAAGGAATTCTTCCATGGAAAAGAATGATTTTCCTACATCATAGACAGAGATTCACAGCTTTGTCATCTCTTGTTTTCTTTTTCTTTTTTATTCTCTGGCATCAAAGCTACTGATTTTCATCATTCATCACTCCTTCCTTCTGTTTGTTCATTCATTTATTCATCAAATATATACTGATAGCCTGCTCTGGGCCAAGCCTTCTGCTGGACATTAGGAACTCACAGCTGAGTGACGAGACATGCTCAGAAATAACTATTTACAGCATGGCCCAGGTTCCCTAGCAAAAGTATGTCCAAGGAGTATCTGATGCTGTATGGTCAGGGAAGACTTCTCGGAGGAGATGACAGTGGAGCTGGCTGTGGTTTTTTCCGCACCTCAGGCAAACCCCTGTTACAGCGTCTGTAAGGCTGTGGGGCCCCCTGCAGGTTGGTGAGCAACTTAAGGGCAGGGACAGTCAGTCTGACTCCTCCTTTGCCCCCTAATACCTGGCACAGAATAGGACTCAATGGACTGAAAGGGAGGGAGTCGAGTGAGGGCAGGAGGAGGGTGGGAGGAGTCACCAGCGCCAGCACTGGAATCACTTCCACACATTGCCTGCCTCAGCACCTGCTGTGTGATCTCTCCAGAACTCCGCTCCTGGAGGCCTGGACTGACGGCAGGCTCCAGGCCAGGGTGGGGCTTGCACTTTCTGGCATGGGTGTGTTGCTGGGTGCAGTTGCGGAGGCTGGGACACAGCCTGCAGCCCCCGGAGCTGCCCTGACCCCATGTGCCCCACACAGGCATACTCGGCCGCCAGACAGGAGATGCAGCAGCAGATGAGCCTTGGGGAGCTGTGCCACCCCATGCCTCTCTCCTTTGAGCCCGTCAAGAGCCTCTTTAAGGGCCTTGTGGAAGCCATTCAGAGCGCGCTTCAGATGCCACTGGACGTTCGTATTAAGGAAAGTAAGTTGCTATATGATTAACTTGTATCCTTAACTCCCCTCAGGGCCCTAAAGCCAGGAGACCGCTGCAAAGATCAGCACCCTAAATCACGCCTCTCCCACACCCAAGCCCTTGGTTGGGTCGTCAAAGGCTCCTGGGCCTCACGCCTAACCCACCCTTCAGCTTCACCTCCTACCCTCCTGAGACCATGCCCTGCTGCTGTCCAGCTATGCTGCTCTGCGCTTCTGCCCCTCAGACCTCCCTGTGTCCCGCCACACCACAGCTTTGCCTGCTCTGGGCTCCCAGCCACAACAGACACCACCTCCCCCTCCTCTTCCTCTGCCGGGCCAAGTCCCACCTCCTTCAAGGTGGGCACAGTGTGCTCACTAGGAGGGAAACCTGTCCCTGCTCCCTCTGCTGATGTCTCCTCCAGGGCCTGCTCCATGTGAATACCATGAGTAACGGGAGGGCAGGTATCACTTTTGGTCCAGCTCTGAGTTTCCCATAGGGCCTGGCACAAAGCCGGTGCTCAGAAATATCCAGCCATCCATCCATTCATTCATTCACCCATCTCTACTGTTATGATTCATTCAGGACATTGACAGAGCCCCTCTTATGTGCCAGGCACGAGTCTAGGATGAGCAGGGGACAAAACAAAGTTCCTGTTCTTGTGGTGCTCCCAGCCTCTTAGGGGCAAGATGGACAGCAAACTAACAAATATGTCAGGCGAGAAGTGTTCTGAAGAAAAATAAAGCAGGGTAAGGGTAATAGAGAGTGACAAAGAAGAAGAGCTTTTTTATGTGGGGAAGTTGGGCAAGGCTTCTCAGGGCAGGGGACATGTGAGCAGATCTGAAGTAACCCTTCAGTGAGCTCCACAGATCTGAGGGCAGGAGGGCATAGGCCAGGTTCCTGTCCCAGATCCACCACTTCCTAACCCTGGGCAAGGTGCCTAACTTTTCTATGCCTCTGTTTCCACATCGATAAAATGGAGTTGATAATATAGTGCCCTGAACTGGAGTTGTTGTGAGGATCAATGCTTAAAACAGCGCTCAGGTATAAAACCAAAACCAAACCTGTTGCCATCGAGTCAATTCTGACTCATAGCAACCCATAGGGTTTCCAAGGCTGTAAATCTTTATGGAAGCAGACTGCCACATCTTTTCTCCCTCAGAGCAGCTGATGGGTTTGAACCACTCACCTTTAGGTTAGCAGCCTGGTGCTTAACCACTGCACCACCAGGGCTCCTTAATATAATATAACAAGCACTATGTAAATGTTAGCTGCTGTTGTTGTTGGTGGTGGTGGTGGTGGTATTTTGTTACATCTCGGGAAAGGTATTCTAGGCTGAGGGAAAAGCAGGTGCAAAGGTCCTGAGGTGAGATTGAGGCAGGTGTGAGTTTGGCATGTTGGAGGTACAGCAAAGGGGCCAACAGGAGTAGATGGGGTGCAGGGGTGATTGAGATTTGCATCAAGGAGGTTCCAAAGATTTTGGCTTGAGCAACTGGAAGAAGGGAGTTTTCTGAGATGAGAAAGAGCATTTAGGATTGGAAGGAATGAAGCATTTGGACCTGTTAGGTTTGAGAAGTTTGACCTCCTCTGTGGTAATATTCAATAGGCATCTGGGTCTGTGAGTCTAGAGTTCTGGGGAGGGGAGAGGTGTTTACCTAGAAATCTATTTTCCACAGACCATCCAAAGGTGACCGGGCCAAGGGCAGTGAGAAAGGAACAGGTTGGGGCGTGGGGGAAGCAGCTACTTAGGACAAGGTGGTCATAGAAGGCTGGGGGGTGGCAATGAATTCCAGCCCAAACTGCGGGGAAGGAGGCAGCCTGAGGGTACATCCCTGGCGGATGGGGGGATCCAGGCTGAGGGAACAGCAGGGGTCAGGGCTGGAGGTGAGGGAAGAATTTTGCAGCCTGGAGAGGAAGCCTGAGAGGCTGGAGCACCTTGAGGGCGGGGAGAGGGGAAATGAGGTTGAGGAAAGTTGAGGTTGAGGAGGTTGGAAGCCTCCTTGTCCAACGGGGCATGGTAGTGACAACTCTTAAAATTAGGAGAAAAGGAAAGCAAAAGAGAGGGAAAGAGGCCAGAGGAGAGGAGACAGAAATGCTCCAGGCACCCACTGAGCACCCACTGGGACACGGAGAGAGATGAGGCCAGGCTCTGTCCTAGCAGAGGAGTTGACTTCATGAGATGAGTGCCAAACCGAGACACAGCAGGTGCCATGAGGCCTCGAAGGAAACGGTGAGTGATTCTGACAGGGACACCAGGGAGGACTTCCTGGAGGAGGTGGCACTTGAACTGGGCCTTGAAGATGAGTAAGATTTTGAAAGCCAGAGAGAACAGAAAGGGCATTTCACACTGAGATGAGAGAACACTGAAATGTGCTGGGAACACTGATGAGCACAGTGGGGCTGGACAGTGAACGCTTCTGAGCTGATTTGTTAAAGCAGATTTGTAATCTGTAGATGATATTCTCTTTTCCCATGACTTCCACTGGAACTTTGGATACATAGTCTATAGAGCTGAACAGAGGATTTCAAAGGGTGGCTCGAGAAGACAAAATGTTACAATGAAGTGTGCAAAGACCTGGAGTTAGAAAACAAAAAGGGAAGACCATGCTCGGCAATTCTCAAGCTGAAAGAGCTGAATTAAAAATTCAAGCCTCGAGTTGCAATTTTGAAGGTGCGAAACCACCAGTGGCTCTTCGGGAGAAAAATGTGGCAGTTTGCTTCTATAGAGATTTACAGCCTTGAAAACCCTATGGGGTCGCTTTGAGTTGGAAGCAACTCGATGGCAGTGGGTTTTGGGTATGGGCAAAATATGAATGACCCAGGAAGCATCAAAAGAAGATGGAAGGAATACACAGTCACCATATCAAAAAGAACTGGTCAACATTCAACCATTTCAGGAAGTAGCATATGATCAAGAACTGATGATAGTAAGAGAAGAAGTCTAAACCGCACTGAAGGTATTGGCGAAAAACAAGGCTCCAAGAATTGGCAGAATACCTATTGAGATGTTTCAACAAACAGATGCAGCACTGGAAGTGCTTACTCATCTATGTCAAGAAATTTGGAAGACAGCTACCTGGCCAATCAACTAGAAGAGATCCATATTTGTGCCCATTCCAAAGAAAGGTGACCCAACAGAATGCAGAAATTATCCGACAATATCACATGCAAGTAAAATTTTGCTGAAGATCCTTCAAAAACGGTTACAGCAGTACATCAACGGGGAACTGCCAGAAGTTCAAGCCGGATTCAGAAGAGAACATAGAACGAGGGATATCATTACTGATGTTAGATGGATCTTGGCTGAAAGCAGAGAATACCAGAAAGATGTTTACCTGTGTTTTATTGACTATGCAAAGGATTCAACTGTGTGGATAATAACAAATTATGGATAACATTGCAAAGAATGGGAATTCTAGAACACATAATTGTGCTCATGAGGAACCTGTACAAACACAGACAGTTGTTCAAACAGAACAAGGGGATGCTGTGTGGTTTAAAATCAGGAAAGGTGTGTGTCAGGGTTGTATCCTTTCACCATACTTATTCAATCTGTATGCTAAACAAATAATCTGAGAAGCTGGACTGTATGAGGAAGAACGGGGCACTGGGATCGGAGAAGACTCATTAACAATCTGTGACACGCAGACGACACAACCTTGCTTGCTGAAAGTGAAGAGGACTTGAAGCACTTATGATGAAGATCAAAGACTAGAGCCTTCAGTACAGATGACACCTCAACATAAAGAAAACAGAAATCCTCACGAGACCAGTAAGCAACATCATGATAAATGGAGAAAAGATTGAAGTTGTCAAGGATTTTCTTTCACTTAGATCCACAATCAACGCCCGTGGAAGCAGCAGTCAAGAAATCAAATGATGTATTGCATTTGGCAAATCTACCACAAAAGACTTCTTTCTTTCTTTATTGTTGTACTTTAAGTGAAAGTTTACAATTCAAGTTGATCTCTCATACAAAAATTTATACATACATTGTTATGTGACCCTAGTTGCTCTCCCTATACTGTGACAGCACACTCCTCCTTTCCACCCCAGATTTTCCATGTCTATTCAACCAGCTCATGACTGTCTCTGCCTTCTCATCTCACCTCTGGACAGGAGTTGCCCATTTAGTCTCATGAATTTACTTGAGCTAAGAAGCACACTCTTTATGAGTATCATTTTATGTCCCATAGTCCAGTCTAATCATTGTCTGAAGAGTTAGCCTCGGGAATGGTTTTAGTTCTGGGTTGACAGAGAGTCTGGGGGCCATGCTTTCTGGGGTTCCTCCAGTCTCAGTCAGACCACTAAGTCTGATCTTTTACTAGAATTTGAGTTTTGCACCCCACTTTTCTCCTGCTCCATCAGGGACTCTCTGTTGTGTTCCCTGTAAGGGTGGTCATTGGTGGTAGCCAGGCACCGTCTAATTTTTCTGGTCTCAGGCTGATGCAGTCTATGATTTATGTGCCCCTTTCTGTCTCGGGCTAATACTTTCCTTGTGTCTTTGATGTTCTTCATTCTCCTTTATACCAGGTGAGTTGGGACAAATTGATGCATCTTAGATGGCTGCTCGCTAGCTTTTAAGACCCCAGACACCACTCACCAAAGTGGGATGCAGAACATTTTCTTAATAAACTTTGTTATGCCGATTGACCTAGATGTCCCCTGAAACCAAGGTCCCCAGACCCCCGCCCCTGCTACTCTGTCCCTCAAAGTGTTCGGTTGTATTCTGGAAACTTCTTAGCTTTGCTTTAGTCCAGTCGTGCTGACTTCCCCTGTAGTGTGTGCTGTCCTTCCCTTCACCTAAGATAATTCTTCTCTACTATCTAGTTAAGTTAGTAAATAAACCTCACCCTCCCTCCTCACGCTCGTAACCATCAAAGTTTGTTTTCTTCTGTGTTTAAACCTTTTCTTGAGTTCTGATAATAATAGTCTTATACAATATTTGTCCTTTTGTGACTGACTAAATTCACTCAGCATAATACCTTCCAGATTCCTCCATGTTATAAAATGTTTCACGGCTTCATCGTTGTTCTTTATCGTTGCATAGTATTCCATTGTGTGAATATACCATAATTTGTTTATCCATTTGTCAGTGGATGGGCACCTAGGTTGTTTCCATCTTTTTGCTATCGTGAACAGTGCTGCAGTGAAAATGGGTGTGCATATATCTATTCGTGTGACAGCTCTTATTTCTCTAGGATATATTCCAAGGAGCGGGATTGCTGGATCATATGGTACTTCTATTTCCAGCTTTTTAAGGAAGTGCCAAATCGATTTCCAAAGTGGTTGTACCATTTTACATTCCCACCAACTGTGTGTAAGTGTTCCAGTCTCTCCACAACCTCTCCAACATTTATTATTTTGTGTTTTTTGGATTAATGCTAGCCTTGTTGGGGTGACATGGTATCATCATTGTAGTTTTGATTTGCATTTCTCTAATGGCTAATGATCATGAGCATTTCCTCATGTGTCTGTTAGCTGCTGGAATGTCTTCTTTGGCGAAGTATTCATATCTTTTGCCCGTTTTTTAACTGGGTTATTTGTCTTTTTGTTGTTGAGGTCTAGCAGTATCGTGTAAATTTTAGAGATTAGATGCTGATCAGATTTGTTGTAACCAAAATTTTTTCCCAGTCTGTAGATTGTCTTTTTACTCTTTTGGTGAAGTCTACAAAAGACTTCTTTAAAGCGATCAAAAGCAAAGATGTCGCTTTGAGGACTAAAGTGCGTCTGACCCAATCCATGGTATTTTCAGTTGCTTCATTTGCATGTGAAAGCTGGACAATGAATAAGGAAGACCAAAGAAGAATTGATGCCTTTGAATTATGCTGTGAGTGGAGAATACTGAATATACCATGGACTGCCAGAAGAAGGAACAAGTCTGTCTTGGAAGAAGTACAGCCAGAATGCTCATTAGAAGTAAGGATGGCAAAACTTCGTCTCACATACTTTGGACACGTTATCAGGAGGGACTAGTCCCTGGAGAAGGACATCTTGGTAAGGTAGAGGGTCGGCGAAAAAGAGGAAGACCCTCACTGAGAGGGATTGACACAGTGGCTACAACAATGAGCTCAAGCATAACAACTGTCTTGAGGCTGGCGCAGGACCTGGAAGTGTTTCATTCCGGTGTACATAGGGGCGCTATGAGTTGGAACCATCTCGACGGCACCTAACAGCAACAGTCCAACTGAAAAATTGTCTTGAGATATAACTATTTTTTAAAAATCACATTATCAATCTTGTTGTTAGTTGCTGCCGAGTTGATTGTGACTCATAGCAACCCCTTGTGTACAGAGTAGAAGTGCTCCATAGGGTTTTCAAAGCTGTGACCTTTCAGAAGCAGATGGCCAGACCTGTCTTCTGAGGTGCATCTGGGTGGGTTCAAGCTGCCAACCTTTTGGCTAGTAGTCAAGTGCTTAATTGTTTGCACCACCCAGGGAAGATCTTAGCAGTTGACATATCTCAATAAAAAAGACTATATAGTAAAAATATGGGGGAAAAGAAAAGAATCTTAGCAATCGGCTCCAGGAAACTTTGGCCTCATCTGTGTTTAGTGAGTGTGCACTGGCATCTCTCCCTGCCAGCCTTCGCAGGAGGTTACTCAGATGGACCCAAACTGCAGTTTGTGCACATTGACATTCTCAGTGGCCCTTTTTCCCAAACAGTTGGGAATCCTGCTGAGTCCATGATAACAGCTCACACTTGCTATATGTTCTAAGCACTTCTTCTAAGCACTTTACACGAATTCATACAGCATCTCCTTGTCATCACCCTGTGAGCTAGGTTCCTTCATTATCCCCATTTTGCAGATGAGAAAGCTGAGGCTCAGAGAGGCCAACTGACTTAACCTAGGTCACACTAAGATGGTAGGTGGCAGAGAGAGAATTCAAACAGACTCTGGACCCAGGGTCTGTGTTCTGATCCTCTGGGCTCTGTTTCCTCTTGGGCCATCACCCCTTACCCACCTTCAGATGAGGTCTTCACTCTTCATTATCACAGGTCATCATGAGAGGTCCTGACTCCCAGGAAGGACCCAAGGAGGTAGGGGTCTTGCGGCAACACTACCCTTCAAATGTTCCCCTCCCCCGTCTCTGCCTGGATGCTCCACAGACTGCAGGCTCATTGGGGCCAAATTGGGATGCAGCATCTTCCCCCAATCCCGAAATGGGATGCTGCCTCTTGATTCCACCTAGCTGTTCATCCCCTACTCCCAGTGAGCTGTTCTGCCTATGTAATATTTCCTCAGCCCAGTCCCTTTTCCATCCCTGCTGCCCCAGTTCAGGCCTGATCCCCCGAACAGACACCCTTCCTCCACTCTCTGTCCCATCCCTTCCCCACTAGAGGGAGTTTTCAAAATTCTGCTCTTGTCATTCCCTCACCCAGACACCTTCCATGGCTCCCTACTCCTGACACCTGCCTTCGATGCCTTTGCTCTATCTGTACCCTCTTGTTGGAATAGCCTCCCATCCTTTTTCCTATGTGTCCAAATCCTCCCCATTTTTCAAGGGCCACATGAAGTGCTTCATCCTCCCAGAAGTTTTCCCTGACTCCTCCAAGCCCCAGAGACTTTGGGCCTCTCTCCTCTCTCCTGACCTTGAGCCCTCTCTGCCTTGGGTCATAGATCAAGTGAACCCATTTCCACCTCCTTACCTGACTGTGAGCTGTTGAGGACAGGGACCATGGCTGGGGTTTCCTTATAACTCTCCCTCACCTGAATGAGACCTGAAAATGGCCTTTCTGAGCACTCAGTTCTGGTTTCTTGTTTTTCACCTTTATCCTGGAATTTGCATTTCTGCCTTGAGCTCGCTTTTCCTCCCTGAGTGTTGAAGATAATCGCTGATTCTCCAGATCGCCCTGGAGCTTGCCCCATCCTCTGACCTGACGACTCCCCAAGTTCAGGGCTTCCCTTGCACTGACCTGTTTGATCCTGCAAAGTACATGTCTCTCTAGATCTGACCTTGTCCCTGAGTTTCCTGTCACTGTGAATTTGCATTTCCAGCTTATATTTGCATGAGATTCCTGGGGAGAGACTATGCGAATCTCCAGTTCTTGAATATTTTTTAGCATATTTTATAACTTATGCTGATAGTGTGAGCACCAAGTGCTCATTTCTCACAATTCGTTACAGACGTGAACTTCCAGCTCTTGGGCTCCTCCAGCACCAAGCCAGGTGCCTTGTTGAAAACAGGCCCCTCTCCGGAGCGATCGCTCTTCTTAAAATGTAAGACCCCGGGAATGGGCAAAGGGTGGAGAGGGCGGGGAGAGTGGGGGACAGAAATGGAGGTCGCCCTTTTTTTTGTTGTTGTTGAAACCCAGCTTGTTTTCTTTAACTTTATTATTAGTTTTTTATTAAACAAATAATCCATGTTCACTGTAGAAAAATTAGAAAACAAAGAAAAGCAAAAAAAAAAAAAAAAGAAAATCGCTGATAATCCTTCTCTGTATAGAAAACTGCTGTTATTGTATGTCCTTCTAGCTTTCTTTGGTATATCTGTACAAAGAATATATTTACATACAAAAGTATATTTAATAGACCTTTTTTTTAACAAACATGGTGTCATACTATACATACTGTTTTGCAATGTTGTTTTCATTTAATGATATATTGTGAACCTCTTTGTTCCCTTAAAAAATTATACAGTTAATACATGCTTCTTGTAGGGAAATTAGAAACTACAGATATTCAAAAATAAAATGCTATTAATATTTTGGCATATATTCTTTCAAACATTTAAAGCATATATGTATATAGCTTTTTAAAAAATGAAATCATATTATAGATATTGTTCTGCAATCTTTTTATTTAACACAAGAGCTGGACAATTTTCTTTTTCAATAAGTATAAATATTATCATTATTTTTAAAGGATGTATAGTATTCCAATGAATGGATGTATCATATTTAACCAATCTCATAATGTTGGACGTTTAGGCTGGTTTACTTTTTTCATTTCTATAAACAAGGCTGCAATAAATGCATTCTTGTACATATTTTTTGAATTAATGAATGAGTGAATGAACATATCTCAGTTTATTTTCTGATTCAATTTTAGGAGTCATTTCCAGTTAATTGCTATATATGCATTTTTAAAATAAACTTTAATTGAAATATAAAATACATAAAGAAAAGTACACAAATCAAAGGTATATTAGCTTTTAAAAGTAAACATATTCTGTAACCTGCCCCAGATCAAGACATGGACATTTCTAGCTCCCCAGAAACCTCCCTTGTGCCCCTTCCTAGTCACTATCCACTAAGGGTAACCTCTCTGCTGATTTCTGACACTCAGAATTAGTTTTGGCTGATTTTGAACTTTATATAACCAGATCATTCAGAATATGCTCTTTTACATCTTTCTTCTTTCACTCAACATAATATTTGCGAGAGTTAGCCACCTTATTACGTGTAGCAGTAGTTTGTTGATTTCCATTGCTATATAGTATTCCATTGTATCAATATAGCACAGTTTATTTATACTGTTCATGGGTATTTGGGTTATTTCCATTTTTGACTATTGTGGATAATGGGCATGTCTTTTGATGCACGTATGTATGCATTTCTGTTGGTATTAACTCAGAAGGGGAAGAGAAGGACGCCCCCATCACCATTTCTAGTCAACATTGTTCTAGATGTTCTAGACAGTGCCTCAAGGCAAGGAAAAGAAAGGAAAGCTATAAGAATTTGAAAGGAAGAAAACGATCACTATTCATGGATGACATGATTATTTACACAAAATCCAAAATAATAGACAAATAAGTTAGAATTATTAAATGAATTTAGGACAGTTGCTGAATATAATGTCAACATACAAAAATCAATTGTATTTGTATGTATTAGCAACAATCAGAAAATGAAATTTTTAAAACACACTATTTTCAATAACATGGAGTGGGGGAACCACTAGGAATAAGTCTTTAAAAAGATGTGTAAAATCTCTTTATAGAAAACTCTAAAACATTACTGAGGGGAAGTAGAATCATTGTCTTTGAGTTGATTCCAACTCATAGCAACCCTATAAGACAGTGTAGAACTGCCTCATAGGGTTTCCAAGGCTGTCATCTTTAGAAATGCAGACTGCCACATCTTTCTCCTGCAGAGCGGCTGATGGGTTCAAACCACCAAGCTTTCAGTTAGCAGCTGAATACTTACCACTACACCACCAGGTCTCCTCGAGGGGAAGCAAAGAAGGTTAAAATAAATGGAGGGATATACCATGTTCATGGATTGAAGCACTCACTACTGTAAAATGTCAGTTATCCCAGATAATCTATAGACTCAATTGTAGTCCTCTTCAAAATCCCTGAAGGTGTTGTGTATGGTTTTTTGTTTTTTTTTTTAAGTGGCAAGCTGATTCCAAAATGTATATAGAAATCAAAGGGCCAAAAATAGCCAAGACTGTCTTAAAGAAAAACAAAATAGAAAATTCAGAAACATACTGTATTTTTATGCAAATAACACATACATTCTATGTTCTTTTCTCAACGCACCCTCCCCCTGTGAGGTTTCATAAGTGCGCTATGCTAATTTTTTACAGCAACATGTAAAACGTATGGTCACACATATGGTCATCTGATTTATGACAAAAGTGGCATGACAGTAACGTGGGGAAACATAATCTTTTTGATAAATAGCACTGGGTTAGCTGTGTATCTGAATGAAAAAATTGAATCTTAATGCCTACCTCACACTATACTCAAAAATAAATTCTGGGTGGCTTGGAGGCCAGAATACAAAAGGTAAAACAATAAACCTAGAAAATAACTTATGAGAAATCTTCATGCTCTTGAGGTAGGCAAAGTTTTTTTTTTTTTTAAACAGGATACAAAATGCACGCATATAAAAAATTGATAAATTGGACTTCAATAAAATTAAGAAGTCTGTTAATCAAAAGATAAAATCAAGAGAGTGAAAAAGCAAGCCTCGAAGTGGGAGATGTTTGAATTCAGAAACAGTCAACAAAATTTATAAAGAATTTCTATAAATCCATAAGTAAAAGTCAATCAATAAAATAATTGGCCAAAGACCTGAACAGACACTTCACAAAGAAGGATATAAAAATGGGCAGCAAAGATAGGAGAGGTTTTCAACAAAATTCGTCATCAGGGATATGCAAATTAAAACCTCTTTGAGACAGCACTGTGCACCCTTCAGAATGGCTAAAATTTCAAAAACCGATAATGCAAAGTGTTGACGTGTATGTGGATAACAGGAATTTTCCTTATATTGCTGTTGAAAGTGTAAAGAGTTTGGAAAATTGTTTGGCAGAGTCTACTAAAGCTGAGCATCCACATACCCTATGACCTAGACTTTTATTTTTTAAACTTCAGGTCTACATATATGGTGTAATGCAAAGAGCACTGTTGATAGGAGTTTAAATCACTACTACCATTCTGGAAGGCAATTTGGCAATATTTATGAAAGACCTTAAGAAGCATACCTACTGACCCAGCAATGCCTCTTTTAGGAATACATCCTAAAAAAATAATTGGAGAGATTCATAAAGAGTAATATTAGTATTTTCTAAAGCTTTAAAAAAAAAAAAGGCCCATTAAAAATGGTTAAAATGGAAAATGTTTTATTTTACCACAATTAAAAAATTTTAAAAGCCTACATATTCAAAAATATAGGATAGGTTAAATTATACTGCATCCATACAACAAATCTTAGGATCACCATTAAAGTGTTCTTATTTTATGTGGTAAAATGTCCATAATACATCAATAAACTTAAAAAGCAGATTACCCAAGAGCATGTATAGTATGATACCAATCTTAAGAAAAACTGTAGAGTAGCAATTAAAAAAGAAAAGATATATATATATATATATATATAGGAAGGACATACACCTGTCTTAATAGTGATAGTTTTTTTTTTTAATCAAAATTTTAGAAGTTGGCAATAAATTCCTATGGTACAATATTCAAAAGGGATAAAGGGTGTACAATAAAATTTTCTCTCCTTCCCCTGTCCCCCAGCCACCTTCCCAGGGGCAATCAGCGTTAAAAGGATGGCTTTTAATTTGTCCTTTGGAGATTTCTGTGTTTTCCGATTTTCTGCTGTGAACATGTGCAGGGGCGGGGGTGAGGGTGGGGAGGGCCGTTACTGGAGCACACCCGGACGGTTTCCCCGGGGGCGGAGCTCAGATCTAGCTCCGCCCACTAGGCCTGACCACCCCCCCCCCCCCCGTGTTCCCGCCCCCTGCAGATGCGCGCACGCCCACGCTGGAGCCTGACACGATGCACGCGCGCCTGCGCCTCTCCACCGACCGCTTAACGGTTCGTTGCGGTCTGTTGGGCCGCCTCGGGCCGACGCCCGCGCTGCGTTTCGACGCGCTGTGGCAGGTGCTGGGCCGCGACGGCTTTGCTGCCGGCCGCCACTACTGGGAGGTGGACGTGCAGGAGGCTGGCGCCGGCTGGTGGGTAGGCGCGGCCTACGCCTCTATGCGGCGCTGCGGCTCGTCGGCTGCCGCCCGCCTGGGCTGTAACCGCCAGTCCTGGTGCCTCAAGCGCTATGACCTCGAGTACTGGGCCTTCCACGACGGACAGCGCAGCCGCCTCCGGCCCCGCGACGACCCCGACCGGCTCGGCGTGTTCCTGGATTACGAGGCCGGCGTCCTGGCCTTCTACGACGTGACCGGCGGTATGAGCCACCTGCACACCTTCCGCGCCGCCTTCCAGGAGCCGCTCTATCCGGCCCTGCGGCTCTGGGAAGGCGCCATCAGCATCCCCCGGCTGCCCTAGGGGCCAAGACCAGAGTGGCCGCCCAACGTGCGACCACTGCGACAGCCTCTGGTGTCACCTGACCTAGACGGGACTAGTGCATTGCTTGCTCTCTGACACCTGGTCATCCCCCTCCCGGACCAGTGAAGCCCTGTGCTTTGAACAGTTTCTCTCCTAGTCTTGTTTCAGACTTGGGCTAAACACGCGTATGCAGCTGCTCTCTCATCGGCTTCTCACCAGAGCACTTAAACTACAGTGCTTCTAGTTCAGGTTCCTGAAAGTGACGTTTCCATACTGAGCTGTAAGCATCTTGACGTCGTCAGAATACCATATCCTCAGCCTCGGAACCTTCTTCATGCAGCACCTAGGACCATGCCTGGCACATAGTAGGTGCACAAGAAATATTTGTGAATGACTGGAGAGCCAGAGTCAACCAACTCTGACTCTTCTGTCCCTTAACTGTCCTTTGGATGGGCCTCCTCTCTACTTCAGCTTGTCCATGTCACCTCCCTTCAGAGCAGCTGAAGAGCCTCTTAACACCTGCTGGTCTGAATCCTCTTCCATCCTCACCCTCCACCCTACAGCTGGCATTATCTGCCTAAAATCTCAATCTCTTAGAGCCATCTAGGAGCTCCCCAAAGACGGGGGAAAAACAAGCACTTTACCCTAGCATTCAAGGCTTTTCTAGTCTGCCCTAAACTACTCACCCTCATCAAGTTCCTGTTGCTCTTCTCAGGGACCCCTCTGATCAGAACTGTGTCACGAAGTCCCACCATGGCACCTTTTCCTTTGCTGTTATCCTCCCCCCACGCCACCACATACATGTTTACACAGGGAAGCCCTTTCTTCTTTGCTTGTCTCAGCCTTCCCCAGGGTTACCTGCCCCTGGAAGTCTCCCCAAGCCACAGGAATCTCTCTCACTATCAGAGCCACAAATCTGGGACCTATCTTTCCAGTCGTATTGGATGCTTTCTGAGGGCAGTTGTGCCCTACATACTCCCCACCCTGAAAAGTTCAGGTGGTGAGTAAATGACTATCAGCTCGCTGTCATTGAAGACGTGAGTTGGGAGGACCTTGTAGATCACCCAGCTTGACCTTATTGAGCATTTGGGAAGTCTAAGGTCCTGAAAGAGAATTGCTAATAATCCCCCACAGTGACATCTGGGCCAGGCCTGGAGCCATGTCTTGTTCCCTATCCCCCACTCTCTAGACAAGTGTCTAACCTGCCCTCTGGCCCAGCCCTCCTGGACCAGGTTTCACCTGGGAGATTTTACTGCTTAGTCATTTCTCAGGCGATGTTGGGAAGGAATCAGCAGGTGACTGTTGCTAAGCAAGCACAGGCAGTTGTCCCAACTGTTTTGGGGCAAATAGCAGAGCTATGAGTGGGGTGTGGGCAGCCCCAAATATCCCCATGCTCCTCAAATTCCTTAAATCCAGATGTTGCCAAGGAAACCCAGACAGCCCAATTTTCCAGAGTGACAGAAATAGAGAAGGCCAAACCAGCAGGTCTCCATAGGGAACCACCTCCTGTAGCAGGGGTGAGGAAGGGGGAGTAGGCCTCTTTCCAGGGTTTGTGCCTCAGTTCTGAAGGTTCAGCATCCTGATTTTGTCAAATTCCCTAGATGTGGTTTGAAGCAGTACTGTGTTAAAGCATCTTCTTAGGCACTTGGTGGGGAGGGCAGTGGTAGGGTGAGGAAGATGCCAAGCTGAATCCCTCTCATAGTCTCAGTGCATTAATGAGGCTTACCATATGATCTGCTACTTTCCAATCATTTTGACCTAAAAGTGGCACTTTCATGTGAGTCAGCCTAATATAAGTAGAATACAAGGCAGAAGAAACCTCAAAAGTACCTTTAAAACTAGCTGGATAGATGTCTAAGCATTATACTGCAGGAATCCCGAGAAAAGGGAAATTAATTCTACTGGGAATGGCCTAGAGCTGAATACTGACAGGCAGAGGGCATTCCAGATGTAGGGAAGATGGGTACACTTGACCCCAAATCTCTATCCCTGAAGACCAAAACTGGTTCCTTGATCCACAGCCACAGGGGCCAAGTAAAAACAGCACTGACTGTAGTGCCAGAGACTGTTATGGATTGAATTGTGTCCTCCTGCTGCCAAAAAAAAATACGTCAACTTGGCTAGTCCATGATTCCCAGTATTGTGTGAATGTCCACTATTTTGTCATCTGATGTGATTTTCCTATGTGTTGTAAATCCTACCTTTATAATGTTAATGAGGTGGGATTATCGGCAGTTACATTAATGAGGCAGGTCTCAATCCACAAGATTAGCTTGTCTCTTAAATCAGTCTCTCTTGAGATGTAAAAGAGAGAAGCAAGCAGAGAGACTGGGACCTCATACCGCCCCCTGTGCTGAGAAGCTCCTCGACCAAGGGAAGATTGATGACAAGGACCTTCCCCCAGAGCTGACAGAGAACACCTTCCTGTGGAGCTGGCACGCTGAATTTGGACTGCTAGCCTCCTAGACTGTGAGAGAATAAATTTATCTTTGTTAAAGTCATCCACTTGTGGTACTTCTGTTATAGCAGCACTAGTTAACTAAGACACTGTTTTAATGCTTTACAACCCTTTTGATTCTCAAATCAACCCTAGGAGGTAAAAGTTATTCTCCCAATTCTACACATCAAAATGGAGACAGATTTAGTAACTTGCCCAAGGTCACACAGCTAGTAATGGAGCTGGGGTCTGAGGTAGGCCATCAGCAATAGGTCTGTGCTCATGCCCACGAGGCCCCACTTTTCAGGATGACTGCAGCTGGTTGCTGGCCAGCGCCTAGTCGCTCTGGCCCCTCTGTCATTGAGCCTTCATTGCCTGTGATGCTTATCTTTTGCCTGGTTACTCCATGGGACTTGATGCTACCTTGGGATTGCCTTCTACCCAGAGGGGGACTTGCTTTGAGAATTTGGAATTCGTGTAGCAGAAACAGAGCTGGACTTTGAAGGACAAAAATGAGCCTTCATCAAATGTCTACTCTGTGCCAAGGCCTGTGCTAGCCAGAAAACTGCAATTTCAGTCCACAGGCAATTGAGTGACTTCATGTTAGTCACTTTTTACTTCTCGAAGCATTATCTGTAAAAGGGGGTAATGACCCAAACTACCAATGCTGTGAGGCTCAGATGGGCCAAAGGTTATGAACTTGCCTTAAATGTACAAATGCTAGTTATATGCCTTTGAAAAGAGACTCAAATATACACTTTGAAACAAGATGAATTATAGTAAACAAGGCCAAATAAATATGAACAGTGATTCCAGCATACATTTGCAAAGAAGTATTAATCTCAGTATTGATTCAAAAGATCAAAGGTGAGTATGACATTGAGTCGCCATAAAAGATTCGTTGTCCTTTTTGTTAGCTGGGTTTGTAACCTTCAGAATATGTCCAAAAAAATTGTGTCGATATAGAGGGGCTGATTTCAGCATTTCCACCATGGGCAACCTCCAAGCCCGCATTCCCCATCCACTTTCTGCTGCTCTATTTGGTCTCCATGCACACATCACCTTCTAACATCCTGTGTGGTGCCCTCACTTACTGTGCTCATGGTTTATTGTGCAACTGCCCCCATCTGAATGGAAGCTCCATGAGGACAGTGATTTGGGGCTCCACTGCTGTGTCCTCAGTGCCTAAAGCAGTGTCTGGCACAGAGTAGGCCCTCAATATTTGTTGAAAGAAGGCATGAATGGTCCCTCCCTCCCCTTGCTCACAGAGGGATGGGGGCTTTCAGCGTTTCTCTGCCTGCAAGACCCACTGACCAATCACTTCTGTAATGCTGAGTGGCTGCTACACAGGGCCAAGGGACACAGAGCCCAAGATGGGCTAAGGCAGTGGAGAAGTAAAGGAAGAGACAGCCAGAGGTCTGTAAGGAAGTGAGACTTCAGGTCATTTGGGTTTGGCTTTTTGGGGAATGAAGAAGGCGGCTTAAAGGAGAGGATCCATACAGCCAGCTATCACCCCTCTGTGCACACACATAGCAACTGGACAGTAATTACTTGCTTTTGAGCCTGCCTCCCCCACTGAGTCGGCCAACTTGAAGAAGAGATTGCCTATTTGCTCTTTGTACCCTTCCATCAGGCCCAGCCCAGAGATATCTGCTGTCTGGGGACTGGGGTGATGGATGAAAGCCAGGTTTCTGGAGATCACTACCCCACCCCACTCCACCCACACACACCCAACAGTACCAGCAAGGCGATTCAGAGTTCAGAGAATGGCACTTTATTTTAAAATTTGATTTTTTTGCCATGATTTTCTACTGATTCTTCCACGATGGTGTCATCTTCTTCAATAGTGACTAGGACCTTCTTGCCCACCAGATTAAAGATGTCTTCAGGAGGATAGCCTTTTGGCTCACCCACCTTCACAGTGAGCATGTCTAGTGTTAGAACAGTGCCTTCTGGAATTTTCACTTTCGCCACCACAGACTTACCCAGCTGCAGACAAAATTAAGACTCATTAACGGCATCACAGAAGTAACTACCACACATTTGCTTTATACCCAAGTTCCCTGATGAGTCTTCAAAAGGTACCTTGAGAGCAGAGACACTGTTATTCCCCATGGTGCCTAGAACAGTATCTCTTAACAGCAGAGACTTGGCCAGTGTAGGGTGAATCCAGACTCAGAGAAGAGGCCTTTACAATAAAGGGCTCAGGCTATAAACAGAGCCAAGTTCGAATCCCAGCTCAGTCAGTTACAAGCAGTATGCTCTTAAGACTAGGTTTCAGCTTCTCTGTTAAATGGGAAATAATAGTGCCTCTATCTTGTCAAGGAGCCCTGGTGACGCATGGTTAAGCACTCAGCTGCTAACCAAAAGGTTGGCAGTGCGAATCCACCAGCTGCTCCTTGTAAAACCTATGGGGCAGTTCTACTCTGTCCTGTAGGGTCGCTATGAGTTGGAATCAACTTGACAGCAATGAGTTATTTTTTTTTTTTTTAATATCAATCTTGTCAAACAACTCTGAAGATTAGCAATAATAATATATGTAATGTACCTGGAATACAGAATGCTCTCAATACAAAAAAGCTATGATTACTTTTGTCACTGAACCATCTAGTTCAGCATCATATTTTAAACATGAGGAAACCGAGGCCCACAGAAGGCAAATGACTTGGCCAAGGCTACAAAGAGCCAGGATGAGAATCTAGGTACCTAGGATTCCTGACTCCTGGTCTACTGCTTTCAAGGGACACAAACCTTACTGCCCCTTCATTTGGTAAAGCAGGAATGTGGGGGCTCACAGATGTATGACTGTTTTTCAGACGATAGGAAAGGGAGCTTCCTAGAACGGTGCAGACAGACAGGCAGGTGGAAGGATGCCTGAAGCTCATGGCTAGGGTTTCTACGTCTTCTCCATACATGCTGTGAGAGCAATTTATCTGTTATCTCTACATCCTCCGTTGTAGGGCCCAAGGAATCAATTCTGCTTGGAATTTAGTGCCGGGGAAAAAAATGTGTCAACTGATGATTATTAGATTACATACGCATACTGTTGTATTTCACTTTTTGCTCAGAGAGCCAGGCGGCTCAGCACCAAACCAAGTGCTCAATCCCTGTAACTCTCATTCGCAGTTTCGGGTGCAATTCTCTCTCCTTTACCTCTGTGCAGTAGTTTGTTTCTTTTTACTATTGTTTTAATTTCTCAGCATGTATGCATTTTTGATTTGGGGGGAAAACAGGTCGGGCACCCATTAGGAATAAAAGATGACAGTATTTCCCATGTATGCCTGGTGTTTGATCTTTGTCTCAACCTAACAACATGTAGCACATTAGAAGTGTCTGCACGTCTGGCCGCTCCAGGACACCTGGCTCTATTCTCAGAGGCCAAGATGGTTAGGCCATGACTTCCAAGTGGTTGACATGCCAGGCAGAGCTCCCCAGGCTCACCACCTGCTCTATCTGAAGGTCAATGATGCACAGCTCAAACTACCATTCAGGGAATATTTGCATCATCACCTACCAACCTACCGTGGTGACCCACTGCTCCCAGCCGCCAGTGCCTCCCCCACTTAGGGAATGACCGCTGCTCCCAGCCACCCCAGTG